ATTTAAATTTAAAAGGTTAAAGAGATTTTAAAAATAATTTTATATTATTTTCTAGTAATTTTTTTCAAGTGAAAATTTTTTGGATTTCATTCCCATTATCTTGTATTTAATTTTTTTAATTAAAATAAAGATTATGATATTTGAATTTATAACTGCTTGATCAATAAATTTTTAATATTATTTTTAAAAACCAACTCAATCTAAAAATTTAAACAAATAATCATCATTTTTAGCTATTTAACATATATCATATATAAACTTCCGAGCCTTCGTTTTTGTTTCCAGAACTAGTTTGTTAGCAATCAAATCCTTCTTGTTACTGAATATATTAGCAGGTAACAAAAACTAATTTGGTTGGAAATTAAACTGCATGCCTTACATTAGCCTAATTATCCCCTAAACGAAAACTAAGATGTGGACTTAATTTTATATACCATTAATTCTACATCATTTCATTCCAATATATTATTGTTTATTGTTACTCTCCTTAATCGCTTGTAAGATTATGTTAAGTTTCTATTAGATTTTTCAACTTTAATTCTCATATTTTCAAAATTTTAACTAATTGTATTTTTTTTTCATTCATTTGTTTTTCAACGTTTCATTTTGTTATTGAATAATATATGTTTTCTTAAGCAATTACATGCTATTCATATGCCTAATCTGTTATTGTAGATGAAAAACTTAATAAAATCAATAAAATGACTTGATTTCAAATAAAAAAAATTATTAAGTTATCTGGATGACTTCACTTTTATGTATGCATAGTATTATGGTATAAATAGTTTTTGAAATTTTTTTATTTAAAAATATATTAAAATATTTTTTAAAATTTTATTTTATTTTTGATATCAGCTTATCTAAATTATAAAAAAATAAAAAATATTAATTTAATTTTTTTTAAATAAAATACATTTTTAAAACGAAATTAAAAACAGAAGATATATACTCGTAAGACGATACAAAACTGATCCCGACAGGCAATAATACAGTGAAACTGAACAAAAGTTACGGGGACCCATTTGGTGGATATGATTAAAGATGCGGAGCTAAAAGAATCGGAGATGTACAGGAAAACCAGTTTGCTGTGATTTATTTATATTCAGAACCCAAATTTAGAAATCGAGAAATTAATATATATATATATGGATACATTAATTATCACAACTGTTAATTCATAGAGGATTGATTACCTGTATCTCTGCAAAATTTCCTTCATAAATGTCGTCGACGCTTAGCTCTCGCTTATTAAGACCACATATCGTCTCCCTTCCACTATAACCATAACTATCGTTCAATAAAACACGTTGCCATTGCTTCTGCTGGTGCGCTAAAGCAGCAATTAGATGGAAGGGCGTGTTTCCTTTGTCATCCTTCTTCGTTCCAAGTCTTGCAAGCTCTGGAATCTTCAGACATTGGACGAATGCTACTCTATCTTTACTTGCCACAGCATAGTGAAGGGCATTCCAACCTCTGTTATCAACTAGCTCACAACAAGCTGGACATCGAGAAACAATCTCTTTCATTGCGTTTACATGTCCTTGAATAGCAGCAATGTGAAGTGCTGTTCTCCTCTTCTCTGTTTCAGCAAGGTAGGCCGCAGACGCATCATTTTCTAGTAATACTTGCACTATACGAGGAGACCAGTCATAACAAGCAGCGTGGTGAAGTGGTGACCAGCCATTGTCATCGGTTGTTTGCGTCAATTTCTTTTCTTTTTCTAACAATTTTCTTGCTGTCTCTGAAACCAACAAAACAAGGAATAAAAGTTTTCTTTCATGAACAACAGAGATTTCGCATGGTCTATGTGAATTACTATATATCCAAACTTAAACTCACAAAGAATTTTAGTGGTATAATTTATTTTATTTTTAAAAAAAGCTAATTATGAAGCAAACACGGATATATAAAATCAAACATACGTCGCTTTTATATATAAATTATTTAATTCTCCAGACTTGAGCACAAAATTCTACCATGATCTCCCGACGCGCTTGCAGCGTGTAGAGTAGTTCTACCATTAGGGCCGCCATAGTCCACTGAGATGCAATTTCCGAGGATTCCATCGACTACCTTTCCTCGTTCTTCCCTCCACCTCGTGATAATGGAAGCAGCAATATAAAGTGGAGTTTCTCCATGAACATTGGCGGAATATGGAAACTCAGGGTCCTCTTCAGTCAATATTTCCACCACATGGCTTCGCCGATGTCGAGCTGCCTCGTGCAACGCTGTATCTTGCTCTTCGTTGGTCATCCTCAACATCTTTTTTGCTTCTGTTACTCCGCTCTCTGAATCAGTAGGTAGAGCTTTGGCACGGTCAATGAGGACCTTTACCACATTGGAATGACCATATGCTGCTGCCAAATGGAGTGGGATTTCACCTTTCTTATTGGCTTGGAATAACAGTGGTGGACACATTTCAAGAATTATAACAACAAAATCAGTGAGTTCCGGTTCCCTACTTTGGTTTCCTAAGTAGACATGAAGAATGGTGTTCTCGTCTGGAGTCAATAACTGATCAAGGCAGGTTTGATATTTCTCAAAGGGATCGATATCACCTTCAGCTGCAGCTTTGAACAAGACTGGATCCATATAGGTGATACGTTTCATTTTCTCAGAAGAACCCATTTTGTAGTTTAGAGAAACTCCCTAAATGAAATGTAAACAAATGAAGGGGAGGAGAAAGTACTGTGGCACAAAGGGTCCACTCAACTGATCACAAGCTGCTGATTTCTTTGGTTTTTTACGAAGGAGAAAGCTAGATAACACAATTACAAAAGGGCATAAAAGATTTTTTTCGCAAAGCATGATATATGAATCATGTTTAGGACTTTTTTAAATCATTGCTACTCTATTATTAGAAAGTCATTCAACTGCCCTATACGATGGCAAAACTTTGGATATATATATATATTAAGATTTGGGGTTCTAACAAGATATTCATGCTAATCCCAAAGAGACTCATAACGCAAATAACTTCATCTTTTAGGTGATTGTTGAACAACATGGTTATGGATGGAGTTGGCTCTATTAATAAGATTTGGAAGTGTATTTCCCACAATTATTGCAATATTTCTTTAAGCCAAAATGAAGTTGCTGACAACTTAGTAAGTAAGTGGCAGCTGTCATGAAGATAGAGTACGAATAAGAACAGGGGAATCGGTAGCCGTCGCTTTTGATCGTTTCAATGGGGACTGGTCGCATTAGCAGATTCTATCGCTAGAAGATTTTATAATCATCTAACATGGTTAATAAATGTTATTCTCCTTAAAATAATAATCAAGTATGATTTCTAAATCTTTATTAAAAAACTTAATTTCCAAATAAAGAGAGGTAATCATATAATACTTATAGTAAAATAAAATATACATTTATGTTTGGAAATTATTTGACAATGTAGTAATGATTGTTTTGCAAATAATTTTCTGTGTTGAAATGTATGTTAATAATTTTTTTATTTTTTAAAAATTATTTTTAACATAAAAATGATCCAAAATATACAAATTATATTAAATTTTAATAAAAAAAATTAATTTTTTAAGAATATGGTTTCAATCCAGACACATTATAAGTATTTATGACTTTATTTTTCAAAAGTAGAAGTCATGAAAAATATATTTTTTCGTAATTAATAATTCCTATTTATAAAGGGATCTGCATTGATTTTTTGGAGACATTTCTAATTAGCTGGCGAGGAATCTGCATTGATTCGTTATTTATTCTAATAAAATAGCATGCAATTTAGTCTTTTTCAACCTAGTTGCAAATTGGCTCTGAATTTTCAACTTTTTGGCGTTGCCCATGGAATAGCTATCTGACAAGCGCACACGGATCAGATTTTTTTATATATAAATAAATTATTTTAAAATCAAAAAATCAAAAACTTTTTTACGTTTTGAGCAGACACACAGAATATAGTGTCTGTTTTTTTTTTAAAAAAAAAAACTTTAGTTTTTAATAGTGGGTCCACCAAAAGCATCCTTTACAAGCTTTTTTTTATTTCCAGTAGTTCACGTTACTGTTTGTGTTGTTAGCGATTGTGTGATATTTTTATTGAAATATATTAAAATAATATTTTTTATTATTTTTAAAATTTATTTTTAATATCAATATATTAAAATAATTTAAAAATATAAAATATAATTTAATTCCAAACTAAAAAAACAAATTTAAAAAAAAATGGTTGACACATCCTGGACTCAAAGATAAAGGATAAAGGAGATTGGGGTCCTCTAACCAGAAGAAAAACGAGCGAAGACAGAAAAGATGCAAGTGGGGAAGAGAAATTGACGTCGAGGAAGACAAGGTAGGACAATCATACTGAGTATGTTCATGTTCAAGAACTTCTGCAATACACGAAGAAAAAAGGCTAAATAAATATATAAAAATCAAATAAGATATGGCACTAAAAACCTCAATTGTTTCACTCATTGTAGATCATCATGCAATTATTCTAGCCCTTTCTTTCCTCAGCAGACCACATATGGATCTGGGATGGTTTCTCTGCAGATAATTTCAACAATGACAGCAAAAAATTGGTTCCTCAACCTGCCATAAAAGGAAAGCTGCCTTCTCTTAAAATGCCTTTGTGTGCTTAAAATGTCTTTTGCCATGCTAGAAAGTTCTGCTTTACAAAATGGAACTGATAACCACAAATTTTTGCTTTGTCCTTGAAAGAAATAGAATTTTATTTGTTCTTCTTCAATCATCTATACAATAACTGAGTATTTTTCGTAATTTGGTGTAGTTACTAATTTGAAGTCGGAGTAAAAATGTATTGATGGTAAAAAAATCAATTCCTAATGTTTTGAGGAGCAGAGAAGTATTTCCTTCCAAGTACACATTCTTTGACAAGCCCGATTACCGTTATTTGCAGCAACCTAGACAAAACTGCACCCAACTTGGCATGAATCTCTTTCCCGTGGTTTTGAATTACCAGGGACAATGTGGCTTGAAGACTTGAAGATAAGGATATTGTTGTCAAGCTTTAACCATAAGAAAAAAGAGGACAGAAAACACGCAAGTGGGGCAAAGAAATTGACCCCTACGAAGCCAAGTGAGGTTAATCATAATGAAGAGTATTGATGAATCCGGTTTTAAGGGTCCAAAAAACCTCTCTTGGACTCGGTCAAAGGAAGGACCCAACCAACCTCTCTTAAGATAAGTTAAGAAAAAGACCCTTCTTTATGAATATAGCTATATTTTTTACTTTATTCTTCCTACCTATATTAAGCACCCATCATTTTCCCTCATTAATATATATATTATTAGATATGTTTTTTTCTCATTAATACTATCAAGAAAATATTATGTTTTTTCTTTTTTTTATCAGTAAAAGACTTACGAACTATAAATAAATTAGAAATCATTTATACAAAAGGTTTGGAATCTCCATTCTCTAATGTATATTTATTTATTTTTAGAATATTTCTTTGTAATATTAATATATTTTTTCTTTAAAGTTATTAAGTTAATCATTAGAGAGTCTCCAAAAATCATCAAAGGAAACCTTTTCACAGGTATCAGGTACTAGCCTCCATCCACCTCAAAGAGAAAATAGACCAGATTTTCAGAATTAAGAAATTAACCAATATCTAAGACATAAGTCTTGTTCTTAAATTACTTAGATTTTTTAGGACCTCATTATTAACATCGTTTGTAATAAAGCACAATCCATTGGAAGAGGTTCTCCTTAGCATGATTGCACAATCTTCTTGGAAGGGATCTTTCTAATATAATTGCTAAATCTCATCGAAAAGGGTTCTCTCTGGTGTGATGACTCCACCCTACATTATAACTTGAAATGGTCCACCTTAACAAAGCATGAAGATCTCGTTCTATGGTCAAAGTAAATGTCACCTAGGCTAACTAGAATTAGGAGAACTAATAATACTCTCTAGATGGGCTTTCAGACATTATGATGTTTCCAGGGATAATCTTGAATTTTTCACTCTCAAGTTTGATCTCTCTCTCTCTTTCTCTTATTAATATTATCAAGATAATATTATATTTTTGTCCCTCCTTATCAATAAAAGACTTATGAGTTATAAATAAACTAAAAAAATTTTATACAAATAGTTTAGAATCTTCATTCTCTATTATATATATATAGAGAGAGAGAGAGAGTATTTCTCTGTAATATTATTATATTTTCTCTTCAAACTCATTGACTTAATTCTCAGAGAGTCCTAAAAAATCACCAAATGAGACTTTTTTACAACTATCAAGAATTAGCCACCATCCACCTCAAAAGGAGAATGAAGTCAAGAGATTAACCAATTATTCAAGACATAAACATTTCCCCTAAAATGCTTGGATTTTTTAGGATCTTATCAAGAATGTTTAAGAGTATATGCAATATACAAAAATAGTGATAAAAACCATTGGTTTGAAGGGTAACCTACTCTTCCATTGTGTCTTACCTTTTCTTTGAGCCATGTTTTTTAATTATTTATTCATCGCAATTGGTGTGGTAAAGGTTTGTAACTCGTAAGATTATGAACCTTAGGCTTGGTTGAAGCAGATATATGGTTGATACAAATTTCCAGTTCAACTTTGAGAACCATTGTAATGCAAACATAAGAAATCAATTAGCTAATGTGTTCATAAAAACACTATAAAACTTTTCATGGTTGACAAAATTTTAGGACAAGAAAGAGTAATTGATCTCTTACCATAAAAACTTCGGGTCTTCAAAAACTCATCTATCAAGTATAGATACTCAACAATATTGTTTTAGCTATACAATAATAGCTTCTCACTCTTTCATTTCATCAATAAGAAATACAACATATTGATCCATTAGATGCACCAAAAGATAAAGACAACTCTAGTTTTATGAAGAAATATGAAAAATAATATGTAAAATAAGCACAATACTTCAACTCTTTTGATAAAACTACTCTTGTTATAAAGAGCACTCTATAATAGATCTTAGCCATATGCAATCTCCATCAATCCTTCTTTGACTCTTGCTTGCATGTTTTTTACGAAAAAAATCTATATGCTTAACTTGTAAGATATTTTATTAGTCTACTCAGATATGGTATCACAATATTGATCTTGGCTTTATATTTCATCTTTATAAATTATATGTTAAGCTAACCTTTTATTTTAGCACTAGCATACCGGATAAAAATAGCACGATTAGGCTCTTTATCATTATACAACAAGAGAATAAAATCAAAAAAGCATATATTTAAAGATTCAACAAATAAATTGTAAACACAAAGAATCTATGTGAACTTATCGCCACTAAGGCTCTAATAAGTGGAATATTCTATAAATATTCATTATGGGAATGCTTCTATACTTTTCATGAAAAAACATTTGTCTATAAAAATCATGTAATAAAAAATTATATTTGGGTGAAGGAAGCAAGTGTAACTGGATAATAATACTTTTATTTTTGGAAAGTAGAATCTCCACAATATCACCGGTCTTCTACTAGGACATTAAAGAAAAGCACCAGGGATCTATTTATGATCTCTTAATATTTTCTGAGTTTTTAGCCACATCATTAACCACTATGCATAAATAGGTATTGGATTTGAACCAGGGAAGAGATTTTGTACAATATCCATCTTTCATGAAGAGTGATATTAACATAAAAACCCCTAGCATGTTTTTGTAACAAAAAAAAAAGAAACAAATTAATAAAAAAAAAAAAGAAGTTTTGAGTAGATACATTGTTCACTCTTTATTTCAAATCAATACAATTTTTCTAATTTCTATTTTAGTTTTTTTTTATTTTTTATCCATTAAAATTTATTGCTAATAGAAAAGATATGTTTTTCAAATTAAAAAAATTAATATGAAAAGAGAATGTTAACTAAAAATAACTATTTTTATCATTGAATATTTATTTTTATTTTCATACAATTAAATAAAAAACCAAAAAGCAAAGATATTAGATTAAATATTTACACTTACATTTTTTTTTTATTTTTTACAAAAAAAACCCACCTGCTTTAGCCTTTAATTAGATTAACCATTCGATTTATTAATTCTTTAATTTATTTATTTTTTTAATACAAACACCATCATTTCAATTTTCAATTTAAAAATTTTATGCTATCAAAAATCAAAACACAACTCCACAGATTATAGCTTTTTCTTTTTTTCTTTTTTTTTACACTACAACTTAGTTTTGGAATGTTACCCGTAACTAGTTGGTATATATTTAATGTCTCGTTTGTCAGGTCGATGAGAATATTCCAACCATATACATGCACTTCATGTATCAAGCTAGCTAGCCGGTACAGGCGCCAAGGAAGAATGAAACTTGGCATATTCCCACTTTTCAGATTAATTTGTTTTGTTTTTTAAAATATTTTTTATTTTTAAATATATTAAAATATTTTACTTTTCATTTTTAAAAATTTATTTTTAATATCAGTATATTAAAAAAATTAATAACACTATTTAAATACAATAACAAATACTTTACAAGTACAACCTTGATAATAAACAAACCATCAAAGCAAATCATACTTGAAAAATATATTTAGCTGTCCCAGCTAGTACTTGTGTCACTGAATTTTAGTCACGAATAGGAAAATGAAAATAAATAAATAAAAAATAGTGTGATAGTTTTTGGTCACAAATCTTGTGATGCGCATCAATTACAATTAAAAAAAAATTGACCACTGATTTGGCGACCAACCATATCATTTCTGACTATATGATATCACAATTGTTTTTCAAAAACAATCAGAATTAAAAAAAATACATCTGAATTTTATTTGATAGAAAATTTAGAACTAATTGTTTCACTAATAAATCTTATCTTTTAGATTCTGGCCAATGAACATAAACACTAAAGATACAAGGTAGAAGAAGCTCAGACCAATGAGACAAGTCTTGATGGCAAAGCCCCAAGAAAGGTTCTAGAACCGCGTATGTGCCCGTGATGAATGCGCCGCAGCAACTAGACGAGACTCTCTTGCTTTACTGATAGCATCCTCTTCCTCTCTGTTTCTCTCCTCATTCTCTCTTTTCAAAACCTTGCGCTGGTCAAATAATAATAATTAAGTACCAAGAATTTTTTTTTTCAAGTTTTTAATTATTTATATAACAATTATTAAAAAGTTATATAATTATTAATTTTAAAATTTATAAAATTAATTATAATATATATAAACTAACTCGAACATTTATATTAATCTAAAAAATATTTATATCGGCAGCCAAGCGGTCCACTGCCACCATCTTCAAGGGATTCTAGGATCTCTTTCTACAAAATATTTAGGGTAAAATATCATATATCATTTTTAGCTATTTAACAAATATTATATATCAATTTCGAGGCCTTTGTTTTTGTTTCCATAACTAGTTTGTTTGCAATCAAGTCCTTTCTGATAGTGTATATATTATATATAATTAGCAGGTAAAAAAAAACTAATTTGGTTGAAATTAAACCGCATGCTTTACATTAGAAAACAATAGAAAATAGAAAATAATACAGTGAGAAACTGAACAAAAATTATGTGGACCCATTTAATGGATATGATTAAGATGCAGAGCTAAAAGAATCGGAGATGCAAAGGAACTAGATGGATATGATTAAGCTAGCTAGCTGGCACAGCAGCCATCGAAGAATGAAACTTGGCATATCCCAACTTTTTAGAGTAGTTTTCTTACGGTGAAAGCGAGATTCTTTGTAATGGGATAATAATTGCATTTTAAATTATTATTTATTTAAAAATATATTAGAATAATTTATTTTTATTTTTTAAAATTTATTTTTAAAATTAACACATTAAAATAAAAAAAATCATAAAAAAATAATTAAAACAAAAAACAAAAAACAAAAAAAATTAATAATGTTTTTTGAAAACAAAAACAAACACTTTGCAAGTGCAATCTTGATTAATCAACAAACCATGAAAGCAAATTATACTTGGAAAATAAATTTAGCTGTCCCAACTAATATTTATGTTACTAAATTTTGGTCAAGAATAGGGAAGAGAAAATAAATAAATAAAAATAGTATAAAGTTTTTGACCATTTGACTCGTAATGAGCATCAATGACAATAAATAAAACATTTGACAACTGATTTTTGCAACAAATCACATGATTTCTGAACATATGACAATAAAAATTTATAATAATACATCAGATGGAGTTTTATTTTATAAAAAATTTAGAATTGATTTGATTGTTTCACTAGTAAACCTAATCTTCCATATCCTTTAAAATGGTCCTAAATACTAAAAACACAAAGAAGAAAAAGCTCAGGCCAATGAGACAAGTGCTGATGGCAAGCCCCGGGGAAGGTTCTAGAACAGCGTATGTGCCCGTGATGAATGCTATAATCATTGTACCCATGCCAATCATGGTAAACAATGTGGCAACCCCCAATTGTTTCATAGCGACTTTCTCATCGAACAACTCAAAACCATGAATCAGCGAAATTAAAAAGTGGATAAAGACAGCAGAAATAGAGAGCACCATTGACATGGCATCTGATATGACAAATACTATAAAAGCAGCTTTTTTAGCTAGAATTGCAGTGCCTGGGTCGTTTTTGTAACCGCCAGGGAGGGTGAATGCTGCTGTAAATGTTACAGTTGCTATCAGCGCCGCAACTACTAGATGAGACTCTCTTGCTTTCGTCAAAGCATCCATCCCCTCTTTGTTTCTCCCAACATTCCGTCCTTTAAAAGCCATAGTCCGGCGGCCAAGCGGTCCGCTGCCAACATCGTCAAGGGATTCTAGGATCTCTTTCTGCAAAATATTTAGGGTAAAATGTCATAGATATCCATCATTTTTAGCTATTTAACAAATATCATATATCAACTTCCAGGGCTTTGTTTTTGTTTCCGCAACTAGTTTGTTCGCAATCAAATCCTTTCTGTTAGTGTATATATTAAACCGCATGCTTTACATTAGCTAGCCCAATTATCCCCAAAAAGAAAATTAAGATGTGGACTTAATTTTATATACCATTGATTTTACATCATTTCATTCTAAAATTAATTTCCTAGCTAGGATGGTAATCCAATATATTATTGTTTATTGCTACTCTCCTTAATCGCTTGTAAGATTATGTTAAGTTTCTACTAGATTTTTCAACTTTAATTTTCAGATTTTCAAAATTTCAATATATGTTTTTTTATTGTTTATTACTACTTTTCATTTTTTTATTGAATAATATATGCTTTTTTAAGCAGTTACATGCTATTCATATGCATAATCTGTTATTGTAGATGAAAAAATTAACAAAATCAATAAAATTACTTGATTTCAAATAAAATTTTTTTTTAAGTTTTTCCGATGACTTCACTTTTATTTTTTAGTATTAAGGTAGAAATGGTTTTTAAAAGTTTTTTTATTTAACAATATATTAAAAAAATTTAAATATTTTATTTTATTTTTTATTTCAGTTTATCAAAATTATAAAAAAATAAAAAAATATTGATTTAATTTTTTTAAATAAAATACATTTTTATAACGAAACTAGAAACAGAAGATATTTTAAGATGATACCGGTTACAAAACTGATCCCAATAAAAAATAATACAGTGAGAAACTGAACAAAAGTTATGGGGACCATTTGGTGGATATGATTAAGATGCGGAGCTAAAAGAATCGGAGATGCAAAGGAACTAGATGAAAATCGGTCATAGAAAACTAGTTTGCTGTGATTTAATTATATTCAAAACCCAGATTGAGAAATCGAGAAATTGATTTATTATATATATATATATATATGGGGTTTAATGGATGCGTTAATTATCACAACAGTTAATTCATAGAGGATTCATTACCTGCATCCCTGCAAAATCTCCTTCAAAAATGTCGTTGACGCGTAGCTTTCGCTTATTAAGACCATATATCTGCCATTTAGTAAAACCATAACTATCGTTAAATAAAACACTTCCCCAACTCTGCGATAAAGCAGCAATTAGATGGAAGGGCGTGTTTCCTTCGTCATCCTTCTCGGTGTGAAGTCTTGCAAGTTCAGGAATCTCCATACATTCCTTGAATGCTCTGCTATCTTTACTGGCCACAGCATAGTGAAGGGCATTCCAACCTCTGTTATCAACTAGCTCACAACAAGCTGGACATCGAGAAACAATCTCTTTCATTACGTCTACAAGTCCTCGAATGGCCGCAATGTGAAGTGCTGTTCTCCTCTTCTCTGTTTCAGCAATGTAGGCCGCGGACGCATCACATTCTAGTAATACTTCCACTATACGATTAGGCAATATTAAATAATAGGCAGCGTAGTGAAGTTGTGACCAGCCGTTCTCATCGGTTGTTTTCGTCAACGTTTTTTCTTTTTCCAACAATTTTCTTGCTGTCTCTGAAACCAACAAAACAAGCAATAAAGTTCTCCTTCATGAACAACAGAGATTTAAATAGCTAATTATGAAGCAAACACGGATATATATATATATATATAATCAAATATACGTGGTTTTTAAATTATAGTTTACAATATTATATATAAATTATTTAATTCTCCAGACTCGAGCACAAAGTCCTACCATGATCTCCCACCTCGATTGCCGCGTGTAGAGCAGTTCTACCATTAGGGCCGCCATAGTCCACTGAGATGCAATTAGTAAGGATTTCATCGATCACCTTTTCTCGTTCTTGACCCCAACTGTAATCATCAATATAAGCAGCAATATAAAGTGGAGTTTCTCCATGTACATTGGCGGGATATGAAAACTCAGGGTCCTCCTTAGTCAATATTTCCACCACATGGCTCCGGCTATTTCGAGCTGCCTCGTGCAACGCTGTATCTCGCTCTCCATTGGTCATCCTCAACATCATTTTAGCTTTAGTTACTCCGCTCTCCGGATCTGCAGGTAGAGCTTTTGCACGGTCAATTAGGACTTTTACCACATTGGAATGGCCATATCTTGCTGCCAAATGGAGGGGGGTTTCTCCTCTCTTATTGGCTTGGAATAACAGTGGTGGACACCTTTCTAGAATTATATCAACAAAATCAGTGAATTCCGGTTCACTGCTTTGGTTTTTCAAGTAGACATGAAGAATGGTGTTCTCGTCTGGAGTCAATAACTGATTGAGGCTGCAGGTTTGATAATTCTCAAAGGGACCGATATTGCCTGCTTCTGCAGCTTTGAACAAGACAGGATCCATACTATTTTGTAGCTTAGAAAAACTCACTAAATGAAATGTAAATAAATGAAGGGGAGGAGAAACCAATGTGGCTCAAAGGTAAGAGGTTCCACTCAACTGATCAGAAGTTGCTGATTTCGGTGGTTTGTTGCCTCCCTGGATAAGAGGGTATTTAAACAGAGTTTTAGATATTGTTGTTTTTTTTAAAAAAAATGTTTTTTTATTTAAAAACATTAAATCAGACAATGAAAGAAAGTGCTGATGACAAGCACTAACTTTTTTTTTTTTTAATAAAAAGAGAATTTTAATTAAAAATATATATTTTTTCAGATAATTTAAATAACTATCTTTATTACAAATATTTATTTTTATTTTTATTTTTATTTTTATTAAATAAATAACACAAAAAAGCAACCATGTTACTAGGTTAAATATTTACACCTGCATTTATTTTTTATTTTTTTATATAAAAAAATACCCAACTGTTTTAGCCTTTAATTAGATTAACCATTCTTTATGTGATTTACTAATTAAAATATTTTTAATTCGTTTAAAAAAAAAATACAAACGTTATTTTTTTCATTTTTAATTTAAAAATTTTATGCAATCAAAGCACAAGTCTGACATGCTATCCAATAAAGTCGATGAGATTATTCCAGCGACTTCATGGAACAAGCTAGCTAGCTGGCGCAGCAGCCATAGAAGAATGAAACTTGGCCTATCCCGACTTTTCAGAATAATTTGTTTAGTTGTTTTTTAAAATATTTTTATTTTAAAATATATTTAAAAAATTATTTTAATATTAGTATATTAAAATGATTTAAAATTATAAAAAATTAAAAAATTAATAACACTTTTTAAATAAAAAACAAACTTTACAAGTACAATCTTGATTAATAAACAAACCATCAAAGTAAATTGTACTTAAATAAATAAAAAATAGTGTCAGAGTTTATGACCACAAGTCTTGTGCTACGCATCAATTATAATAAAAAAATTGATAACTGATGGGCAACCAACCACATGATTGCTGACTATATGACGTCATAATATTTTTCAAAAAAAATTATTTAAAATGTTTTCACTACTAAATCTCATCTCGTAAATCCCTGTCAATGATCCAAAACACTAAGTACACAAGGAAGAAGAAGTTCGACCAATGAGATAAGTGCTGGTGGCAAACCGCAATGAAGGTATTAAAACTGCATCTGTGCCTGTAAAGACTGCGGTAATCATTATTCCCATGCCAATCATGGTCAGCCACGTGGCAACCTCAAATAATATTCCGGTGGTTTCCTTATCTATCACTTTCAAATACAACCAGATAAAACCAGGTTAAATGATAAAAATTTAAAATTAAAATATTTATTATTTTTGTAATTTTAGGTTTGAGTTTTTGATTATTTATATAATGATTATTAAAATCTTATTAAATTTAAAATTTATAAAATTAATTATAGTATATACAAACTAATTCAAACACTTAGAAATAATCTTATAGTAATTATAGTAAAAGATTTAAAAATATAATGATTACCAGTCTCTTATAAGGATATATAGCGTAGACTTTGAATTCATTGCCAAGCAATTAAAGAAATCTTTAATAAGTCTTGTCTATGATGGATCTGCATCGATTTTAGGAGTCAATGTGAATTGTTTATGTCTTAAATTATAATAAACGTTTCTTAATTAGCTGGCGTGAACTCTGTCTAGAGTCATTTTTAATTCTCGTACATAGCATAGAGTTTAATAATTTGGACTCATTTTCAAGCAAGTTGAGAATTCTTTAATTAATAATTCCTATTTATAAAGGGATCTGCATTGATTTTTGGAGTCAATTTTAATTAGCTGGCGAGGAATTTGTCTGAATTCGTTATTTATTCTAATAAAATAGCATGCAATTATTTATTCTTTTTCAACCAAGATGCAAATTGGCTCTGAATTTTCTAAACTTTTTGGCGTTGCCCATCCTTTAGATTTTATAGATGGAATAGCTATCTGACAAGTGCACACGGATCAGATATTGTTTTTTATAAAGAAACTTATTTTAAAATCAAAAACTTTTTGACGTTCTGAGGAGAAACACAGAATATAGTGTATAGTTTTTTTAAAAAACAATAAAAACTTGGTTTTTAATAGTGGGGTACACCAAACCCATCCTTTATAAGCTTTTTTTTATTTCTAGTAGTTCATGTGACAGATTGTGTTATATGAAATATATGAAATAATATTTTATTAAAACAATAAAAACTGACTGAATGTGTTATATTAATAGTGGGGTACACCAAACCCATCAAGATGAGACTATCTTGCTTTACTCAGAGCTTCCCCTTCCCCTTTGTTTCTCTCATTCTGTCCTTTAAAATTAAAGCTATGGCGGCCAAGCGGTCCGCGACCACCATCTTCAAGGGATTCTAGGATCTCTTTCTGCAAAATATTTAGGGTAAAATATCGTAAATATCCATCATTTTTAGGTATTTATTAGCAGGTAACAAAAACTAATTTGGTTGAAATTAAACCGCATGCTTTACATTAGCCCAGTTATCCCCAAGAAGAAAACTAAGATGTGGACTTTTAGTCCAATTTTATATACCATTATTTTTCAACTTTAATTTTCATATTTTTTTAAATTTTAATTAATTGTATTTTTTTCATTCATTTGTACGCTACTCTTCGTTTCTTTATTGAATAATATATGTTTTTATAAAGCAGCTGTTACATGCAATTCATATGCATAATCTGTTATTGTAGATGATGAAGAACTTAACAAAATCAATATAATGACTTCATTTCAAATAAGAAACATTATTAAGTTATTCAAATGACTTCACTTTTATGTTTGGTATTGTATGGTTTTTAGAAGTGTTTTTTTTAATATATATAAAAATAATTTTTTTATTTTTGATATAAGCTTATCAAAACTATAAAAAAATCAAAAAAATATTAATTTACTTTTTATAAAATAAAATACATTTTTAGAACAAATTAAACTAAAAATAGAAGGTACTCGTATGATGTTACAAAACTGATCCCAACAAGCAATAATAAAGTGAAACTCAACAAAAGTTATGTGGACCAATTTGATGATATGATTAAGATGCGGAGCTAAAAGAATCGGAAATGGAAAGGAACTATTATAGTATCTATCCATATAAGAAATGTTGTAGGTATATTATATAAGAAGTATTATAGTACTTTTATGTTGTAACCTCTATCATTATTATTATATATTGTCCTACGTGTTTATATAGAAAATATTGGTTAATCAATACTTAAAGTTTTCTAATTATTCACAACTTGGTATTAGAACTTTTTACCATCAAAACTCTTTTCTTCTTTTCCCACTTATAGTCCACCTTCTCTCTGCTTTTTCTAAATGGATTCTACAACTGCCATCGACTTCTCCCTCACCATCGATGGTGCAGTACAGTCAACTAGCCATCAACAAGCTGCTACCGATGGTGTCTTTCCTCCACAACATAAACCTTCACTTGCAAAGTATATCTCTGATTACTCCTTACAAGTTTCTATCGTTCCTATACATATTATGGAAACACAAACTCTAGCTATCGTTGTTGTATCAAACACTCATCAAGTTGTTTCGTTAAAATTTACGAATACAAATTATTTCTATTAGCGAACATAGATGAAGCCCCATTTTCTTGGTCAAGGTGTTTTTTACTTCATTGACGGTTCAATGTCGTGTCCTCTATCTCATATTTCTGATAATCATGCTAGTCCTTTCTCTATAATTAGTTCTTTTTTTTTTGTTAGAAGCAACAAGATAAATTTATTTTGAGTGCATTACTCTCTTCTCACTTTTCATGGATATGTTGAATTTCATGGTAACTTGTCATACCTCACATTATATTTAGTGTACTCTTGAGAAAATACTTGCATCTCCGTCTAATTTTTGCTTTTCCAAACTCTTCCGCAAGGTGACTCGTTCTTCCCTCCACCTCGTGATAATGGAAGCAGCAATATAAAGTGGAGTTTCTCCATTAACATTGGCGGAATATGGAAACTCAGGGTCCTCTTTAGTCAATATTTCCACCACATGGCTCCGCCTATGTCGAGCTGCCTCGTGCAACGCTGTATCTTGCTCTTCATTGGTCATCCGCAAGATCTTGCTTCTGTTACTCCGCTCTCTGAATCAGTAGGTAGAGCTTTGGCACGGTCAATGAGGACCTTTAATTACCACATTGGAATGACCATATCTTGCTGCCAAATGGAATAGGATTTCTTCTTTCTTATTGGCTTGGAATAACAGTGGACACCCTTCAAGAATTATATCAACAAAATCAATGAGATCCGGTTCCCAACATTGGTTTCCTAAGTAGACATGAAGAATGGTGTTCTCGTCTGGAGTCAATAACTGATCATGGCAGGCTTGATATTTCTCAAAGGGATCGATATCGCCTTCAGCTGCAGCTTTGAACAAGACTGGATCCATATAGCTGATACGTTTCATTTTCTCAGAAGAACCCATTTTGTAGTTTAGAGACACTCACTAAATGAAATGTAAACAAATGAAGGGGAGGAGAAAGTACTGTGGCACAAAGGGTCCACTCAACTGATCACAAGCTGCTGATTTCTTTGGGTTTTTACTAAGGAGAAAGCTAGATAACACAATTACAAAAGGGCATAAAGGATTTTTTTCGCAAAGCATGATATATGAATCATGTTTAAGACTTTTTTAAATCATTGCCACTCTGTTATTAGAAACTCTTTGTGGATATCAAAAAATTTCAAAAACATTTGTGGATCTTTTTGAATTTATTTATAGGTTTCTTGTACTTTTTTTAGGTATTTCAATATATTATATTATTAATCTATGAATTTTTACTGTAAAATGCAAATTCTATATATAATATATTTTAAAATATTAAAAAAACATGTGTGCATTCATTTAAATTAATTTTATTAATTTATTCACTGGCTAGAGCTAAAAATACCATACGTTTTTTTTTACTATATAATATTTATCAACGTTAGAATTGGAAGTATCCATAATTGAATATTCATTAACATCAGAGTCAAGAATATTAGAATCAGACCATCAATAGCATAATATAATAAACCCTTAATAATTAAAAATAAAACTAGCAATGTAGTTTAGCTTAGGTAGAACGC